CCCCCCGTGTAGAGATGTGTGGCACCCATTTTTCTCTTTACTGTTCTCACATATGGATTTTAAATTCATTTCTTTCATGGATGTTTGCTGATGTTGTTTAGTTTTGCAAAAGATGAGGAAAATACTTTCATGAAAAATAATCACTTAGATCACCTGGATAGTTAAGCTTAACTCTTAGCTAGATTCCTCTCCATGGAGGAAAAGTTATTTTTGAAAGGTCTGCAGTAACATTTAGAGCTATTCATAATTGCATTTCCACAGGGAAGGCTCACTTCACAGAAGCCTCTTTGTAAACGACCCACCAGTAAGCTCTATAGACTTCGGTAACAGGACTAGCTCTTAGTTCTCAGCTTTTCAAGGCAGGGGACTGAAATCCCTGTAAAAATCTTAATTCTTCTTCTTTAAGTTATTTAAAGAACTTCCACAATGGAATTCTTTTATGTTTGCTTGATTCCCACCCCTCACCTCCCCCCAAGCTCTTCTGTTCATAAGAGGAGTTTTATTTTTTGCTTTGGTTTTGTTGTTTTTGTTGATTTTTTTGGTCATTTTTGCATAAAATCTGTATGCTGTCATGGGGATCTCACATTTTTAAACCCTCCCCTGCAGTTTCTCTGGCTCAGCTCTTCTGGCCAAAAGCCTAACCTGCTGGAGTTCTAGGGGAGGAGAAAATATTGAGAGAACTGGTGCCTCCCTCTCGCCCCTGAAATTCAGTCCAGCCAATTCAGTGATGGGGCTCCTCAGGGCAGAAGAGTGGAGGTAAGCTCTACACAGCACAGGGCCTGGCTGAGGGGGAGGCAGTGCCTTCAGCCATGTCCCTCGGGAAGACGTCCCTTCCCGGGGGCACCAGAGCCAGAATGGTGCCATCTGTTCTAGCTCCACGGCCACAGAGCTGACTAGGGCAGGGGTACCAGTTCTGAGAAGAACAGAGTCTCTTCCTAGATAAGATACTTAAGAAAACATGTCTCTTTTTCAGTCTTCAACTATGTGCTTCTTGGTCCCCATCCCTGATTTTTTTTTAAGGTTATAAGATACATGACAAATTGTACTTGTTTGCTTATTGACTGACTTATCTGTAGCTGTTTAATTGTTAAACCACAAAATGCACATGCCTGATGCAGTGGGTTTTCTTTTCTTACAGATCCCTACTCTGTTAAGAGGAATGTGGCGAGGACCCTAAGCAATCAACCTGTCTTTGAATACTTACTTCATTGTTTAAGAACAACGTATAAATATTTTGCTCTTCCACACAAAGTGACAAAATCTAGCCTTCCAAAACCTGTGGGTATAGTTCCAGGTACTTTAGAACATTCTAAAGATGTAATAAGTCATGACTCAGGTGTCCAAGCTAAAGAGAACAACTTAAAAAGCTCCGTTCTGGCTCGGGGATCTGGTGCTATCAGTCCAGCGTCAAGCACGCACAAGGTACAGCCACTCAGTCTTAAACAGCCTGCTGATTCCTTTGGAGATGCACCCACAGAGGAAACAGGAAGCATCAGTGTAAACTTGGAATGCTCAGACTGTGTCAAAGCAGAGCCCAGTGGTGATGACTGTGAGGGTGTTACTGTGCAAGAAACAAGAGGGGAGGAAGAAAAGTTAAAAATTGAAAGGGAGGCCCCCCATCATTTGGCTGATTGTGACCGAGATGTAAACAGTAACAAGCTCACAGAACTTGCAGTTGGTGACAACACACAGGAGACTGACAAGACTTTGGATTTAGAAGGTTTCCGAAATCTTACAGTCCAAGGGCGGGATGGATTTATCACTATAGTGGTCAAGGCTGACATTGATAGAGAAAGCTTACACAGTCCTGATAAACTTGAAGACTCTCTCAACCATTGTGCTCCTTCAGTACAGAGCCACACATCAGAAACCATTCACTCAGATGAGGAGGAGGAGGAAGAAGAGCCCACACTCACCATTAAGGAAAGGGAAGATGAAGACATGGTTAACAAAGATGAGTTAGACAAGCCTTTGACTGGATCAGGGGAGGAGGAGGCCATGTCTGAAGAGGAGGAGGAATTGGGCGGGCTTGCCAGCTGTGAAGACTTGAAAGAATGTGGGAAACAAGAAGATGGAACTCTACTAATGGAACTGAATAAAATAAGTATTAAGGAAGAAAATGTATGTAAGGAAAATTCAACTGAGGACCAGTCAGATCTCTTCTATGAGTTCAGTAAACAGATCTTCACCAAAGGCAAGGTAATTGGCTCCACTGCTAGACATGGCCAAGAGACTTTAATGTGTGACATTACAGTATTCATAGCGGCTTCCTCTGGTTTGGGTGGTGGTTAAGCAGTTGATGTTCCCTCCTAGTACAACCATTTGGTACACTTCCTACTTCAAACTCATGGGAAATGGAACAAGAGCAAGGGAGTCATTTCTGTCAGCAGTGGAAATAACTGCCTTTTTCTCTTGAGTGGACCCTATAGGCAGCCTCTGTCTCATGGCATAGGGTAGCTGCATATTTTTTCAGTACTTTGGGAAGTGGAGAGTGGACTTTTAAGGGAAAGGGTTCAAGACCTCTGTTTGGTTTGGCCAAGTTTAAACATTAAGTCTTGTTTTGTTGTTCCATGTTCCCAAAGTCTCCTACTGTGGTGTGCAGTTTATGCAAACGAGAGGGTCATCGGAAAAAGGACTGTCCCGAAGACTTCAAAAGAATCCATCTGGAGCCTTTGCCACCATTGACACCCAAATTCTCAAGTATCTTAGATCAAGTTTGCATCCAGTGTTACAGTAAGTTTTTAACTCGTGTCTTCTGAATCGTTATCCTAGAGCCTCTCTAAGCCCTTAAGAACTAAGTCTGTTCCATTCTCCAGTGTATCCACAGTGGTCTTTTATTGTCTGTCCCATTTGACACACGCACTCAACCATTGTTGAAGAAGGGAGGGGAGGAGACTCTTTTATGGTAAGAAATTCCCAGCTGTTGTGCCTTGAAATTCTTCTTAGGTGAAGTTAATAATATTTCATATCACAAAGACTTTACAGGCCATATAGGGAATAATTCTGCACACTCCCCCCGCCTTAGAGATTTATTGGGCATATTAGCATCATAAAGACCTCTGAGAAATAATCTCTTTAAAATCCCATGTCATTCCGAATTCATTGTTTCTACATTTTGTACATAAAATATGTTTAAATAACACAATTAATAGCCCAATCTGGGGACACATTGATATGCAGAATATTTAAAAGTTCTACAAAGGAAGAAGAAACCTTAAAAGAGAGGCATGCTGTATAAACTTGTACCCAAATTGCAATAAATGTTCAAAAAGCAGAAAAGAAGAGGCGCATAGTTGCTTATAGTAAAAGAACTTGATGCTTCAGATTACTACATTCTGACAAGTCCACTTTTGCCAAAAGACATTTGTTTTAAACCACGGGTGCCAAACTCAATTATAATGTGTGTCATTTGGTGCAACAGGCAAGATTCACACGAGCCACATCACATTTACAAATTTTGTTAAATTTATATTTTGAAGTGAGGATTCAGGAATATGGATAGGATAATTAAAACACTATAGAATTGCTTTTATTTAAACATTTATTTTATTTAATGTATTTATAAAATAAAATTATTCATTTTTATCCGAAACTTGCCAGCGCTTTCCTTCTACTAGTTCTCACTTACCTCTTATGTTGTGATCGGAAAATATAAGAAAATAACTAATAAAAAAACACAAAATATTGGACAGCTGACAAACATGATGCACAATTGTAATGGCTTCTAAGAATGTTAACTAACGCTGCCTCTAGGTATGATTCATAACAGCACAACCCAGAGTGCTCTTTTTAACATTTTCGCTATTGAGATCTGTTTACATGACGTGACACTGAGAGTGGCAGACATATCACTTCCAAACATCGCCGGAACTGAGTCAGCGCGTTCATACACGTCCACAGGCCCCCAGGAAAGGCTCTGGGCCACATGTATACTCATCTGTAGTAGTTAAAGGGTTAATGAGGGAATCGTGTGTACAGTATGCCTCTATCTCCCCTAAGCACTATTTTCTTCATAACAATTTTTCTATTTTAATTTTATTTCAGAACATCATGGGCCACCAAAAATTACCTCAGGCCGCATGTGGCCCGCGGGCCGCCAGTTTGACACCCCTGTTTTAAACCAGTAAATAATGGTTTAAAACAACAACATTTTGGAGGTTAGGAGCTATGAAAGAAGCTGTCCTATCTAGACAAAAATAGATGCCATGAGTGCTGCATCTTACCACTTTTCTATTTCTCAGTGTCGTGGCAAGTGCTTTGAACTTCCTCCTCTGCCAGCTTTTTGCTTTTGTACACGCTCTACCTGTCACAGCTTTTCCTCTGGGTACATATGTACTCACCTCTGCTTTCCCTGAGCCCACCTGGGGTGTCTGTGGAATCCAAGTCAGTGAATACCTTGTTCGGGTTAGTTGCCAGCTCAAGAATAGTTTTCTTTGAGAAAAAGGCATCTTTTTTACTTTGTAGGACTGATGCTGTCTACCAAGAAGAGAGACAAATTTTAGGTATTTTGTTTTGTTTTAAGCTTATTTTTTAGAAGGTAACGTTTGTTTCATCTTTTCCAAGAATGTCAACTGTCTTTTTTTTTTTTCCTAAACATGTCTGTTTATTTTTAACAGAGGATTTTTCTCCAACCATTTTAGAAGATCAGGCTCGTGAGCATATTCGGCAAAACTTAGAGAGTTTCATAAGACAGGAGTTTCCAGGTAAATAATTTTCTACTTTAAGAAGGGCAGTGTGACTTCTCTTCAGAGTGAGTCCCTGAGTTACAAGCCCAGTACTTTTGGGAAAATAGTCTTGAAATGGTGGGTGTAGGGTTTTGGTGGTTCTTTATGGTTTACTTAGGATTCTCTTTGGTCTGCTGTATTCTCGTTTACCAACAGAAACCATGGCAGATGTATGCTCACTACTAGCAGGTATTACAAGTGAATTTCAGCTAGCATTATATTTAGGCCAAGTTTACAGCCTCAAAAATTAGACTTACTTAGAAAATAGTAAGCTTTTAGTAAATGTGTTGAGGTGGTAAGCATTTTTCTTGAAATGTCCACATTTGTGAATAACGTGGCATGTGATGTTTTTTCCTGTGTGTATTTATCAAAAGTCAGGTTTGACAACATTTATCTGAAGTCAACTTTGGTTAATAAAACACCAGTGTAAGATGAAAATAGAGTAATTATCAACTGGCTATATATTGATTCATGAGGGGACCGTTTGATCAGAAAATGAAATGTGCTCAGGTAATTCGTTATTATTTTTCTTATATCTCTAACAGGAACTAAATTGAGCTTATTTGGCTCTTCGAAAAATGGATTTGGGTTCAAGCAAAGTGACCTTGATGTCTGTATGACAATCAATGGACTTGAGACTGCTGAGGTAAGGTGGCCAATTAAAACTTCATTTGCTGTGGCAGCGAGATTGATTCAACTTTGACTGACAGAAAAGCTTGGTGTTTTCCAACTCTCTCAGGGAGTACGAATCTCCGGCCAAATACATTAAGAAGCTTAGAGGTGAATATAAGGAATAGAAAGACACTTAATTCTTCAACCTGTAGTACAAAACAGATTTGAAAGCAACATCTGGCAGTTCTTCAGTCAGAACAGCTTTTCCAGTATCATTTTGGCATGACCAGTTGGCTGATTTTGAGGCATATACTCACACTGGGGTTTCTGTTGATATCCTTTGATGGGCAGTGGTCCAGAGACAAGGGTGCTCAAGTCAAGAGACCTATATTGAGACAGAATTAGTTTCTTTTCCTCAGTGCCTGAACATGTGGTTGTGGGAAATAATTTGTTTCTGTAGTTTCAAACATTTGTTTGAAAATTTCTGTTTCTGTTTCAAACATTTGTTTGAAAATTTCTGTCCATATCACTTTGAATCTTGAGTGCCAGGAGTCAGAAAAGGAGACTCATGGATCAGATTCAGCCTACTGCCTATTTTTTGTAAATAAAGTTTTATTAGAATACATCTGCACCCACACTTTGCCTCTGTTACTACAGAACTCAGTAGTTTTAAAAGAAGCCATGTGGCCTACAAAGCTGAAAATATTTTACTTGCTGGTCCTTTACAGAAAATGTGTGCTGGCAGATACGTGAAAGAGTTGATAAAACGTAAAGTATTACATAAAGTCTGAGAAAGAAATTATTCTTTTTTTTTGGGGGGGTGGCTTTTAATGTTTCATTGATATATATGCAAGAGAATGTTATTTCTATCCATTTTTACACCTTTTCTTAGTCTCAGATCTTTTTCTTATGAAAATATATCAGATTTGGGCAAATAGCTGAAAGTGATCTAGCCCACGTTTCATGATCAAATGAATAGGCAAGCATGGCTCGCATGTGTGGAATTACCTATTATACCTCCTTAAGATTGATTTTTTTTTTTTAACGTGACATTTGAGCTTTAAGGTTATTTCTGAAGGGAACTTCCAAGTGTGTTCTGGGACATGTACAACTATTAAAGCATATTTAAATAGAACCATCAAAGTGTATTTAAGCATGATTTAAAAAATTATTCATCATATTTCTATGTGCGCGTTATACTTTTATCTACTCCTATAGAGAAATCACTTTCCATAGCAGTTCATCGCTCTTAATTAAACTACAGTGGAGGTCTGCTTAGATTGAGTAGCTTGGAGCACCAAAGCCCATCTACTTACTCTGGTACCAAGGGTGCTAGAGCGATACGATTACATAATGAATAAGAATGAGGTTCTTGCACCGGATTCCAAGACTTTGCAGGTGCTCTGGGCCTTCAGGATTTCTGTTCAAGTCTAACTTTTGTTGAATCTCCTAAAGCAATTAGTGAATAGGGTGGTTTTTTTTGGTTTGTTTTTGTTTTTTGGCATTTTGCTTCTTGTATTTAGGGATCATAGGGATATGCAGTTTTATGTAGTATAACATTGTATTGTGGTAAAATAAACAGTCAGCCTGGTTGTTTTCTCCTCCAGATTATTTATCCACATATACTCCTTTCTTGATTCGCTCCATTTGGGGGGTTCAGACCATGCTGCTTCCCCACCATGTGACCCCAGAAATGTCCTGTCACAGTCTGCTCCAGTGAGGAGACAGTGTGAAATGTGCTGTTGTCATTTGCCCAGTCCCCTCTGTGTCCCATTAGCTCCCAGTAGGGGCGTCATCCTCTGAGCATTCTGTGTCGGCGTGGGGTGTCCAACTCTCTTTCTCTTCCTCCCTCTCGGCCTGCCTCCTTGCGGGTGTGGTATGCTGGGCCCTCTCCCCAACCAGCTCTCCTCCAAACCCACTTCCAGGGAGGGGTCAATTTGGCTCTAGTTGGGGCCAGCCCTGTAGCTCTCTCATTTCATGTATCCTTCCATGGTTTGGTGCTTAATGGTAGGGTCTGCATGCCCCTTCCAGGTTCTGTGGAGACAAGACCAGTACTCTCCCCCTGGGTGAATTAGTGCCCTGCTCCCTCCATTATCATTTCACTTTCAACCCCCTCTTTTTCTCCCTCCCCACTCCATCCTTTTCCCATTACTGTGTTGGACCAACATGTACCTCCTTGGGTTTGGTCCAACCTCCTCCCAGTTCCTCGTATCTCAACCCAATTGTTGTGATATAGGTGGCTTCTCTTCTATACCTACCATGTTGATTACACTTACCTCAGGGAACTCATGCTATATTTCTCCTTTTGTGATTGGCTGACTTCGCTTAGTATAATTTCCTCCAACTCTTCCCATGAAAAGACCTGCTTCGTGTCCTTATCAGTGCTTTTTAGTGATGCATAGTACTCCATTATGTGTATGTGCTAGAGTTTACTGATCCACTCGTCTACTGATGGAAATTTAGATTGTTTCCAGCTCTTTGCGATTGTGAATTGTGCTGCAATAAACATTAAGTGCATACAACTGGTCGTGGTTTATTTCTTACCTCTTCTGCATATATACCCAGTAGAGGGATAGCTGGGTCATAAGGTAGCTCATTTTCCATCTTCTTTAAGTATTGCCAGACCGCTTTTCATAGCGGCTGTACATATCTACAGGACCACCAGCAATGTAGGAGAGTTTCCATCTCACCGCATCCCCTCCAACATTTGTTGCTCTCTGATTTTCTGATTTGGGCTAGCCTCAAAGATGTTAGATGGTATCTCATGGTTGTTTTGATTTGCATTTCTCTTGATGGCTAATGATCGGGAGCATTTTCTCATACGTTTATTGGCCATATGGGTCTCCTCCCTAATGAAACTTCTTTTCAGTTCTTTTTCCCACTTCAAAGGGTTAACTGTTTTCATCTTTTTGCAGGCAAGGAGGATATTGTAGATTTTCATAATAAGTCCTTTGTTGTGCCATTGCTAAAAATCCTATCCCAGTTTTTGGGTTGCCTTGTTACCCTCTTGGTAAAGTCTTTTGATGCACACAGGTGCTTTATCCTTAGTAAATCCCATTTGCCAATTTCAGATTCCCCTGCATGTGTACCCTGCCATATTGCCTTTGTATTCCCTGGGCCAAGGTTCTTAGGTTTGTCCCGATTCCTTCGATAATGGGTCTGATGCTTTGGGGTTTTACTTCTAGGTCTGTGATCCACCTTGAATTTGCTCTTGTGCTTGGGGTGAGGTAGACATCCTGTTTTCTTTTTCTACATGTAGATTTCCATTGTTTCCAGCACCACTTGGTAAATAGGGCATCACCTTCCCATTAGATTCTTTTGGGGTCCTTGTCAAATATCAGTTGTCTGTATGCTGATGGTTTTATTTCTGGGTTTTCTATTCTTTTCCATTGATCTATGTATCAGTCATTATGCCAGTACCATGCTGTTTTGACCACTGTGGTTTTGTAGTAGGTGTCAAAGTCAGATAAAGCGAGCCCACCAGCTATGCTTTTCTTCTTGAGGAGTTCTCTGCTAATTCTGGGCTTCTTCCCTCTCCATATGAAATTGGTGGTCAGTTTTTCCAATTCTATGAAGAAGATTGTTGGCATTTGAATCTGGAAAGCATTGAACTTATAAAGTGCCCTGGGTAGGATAGACATCTTTACTGTATTGAGTTTTCTGATCCATGAGCATGGGATATTCCTCCATTTGTGGAGGTCGCTTTTGGTTTCCTGTAGTAGGGTCTTGTAGTTTTCCTTGTATAGGTCTTTTGTTTTTTGGTTAGCTATATCCCTAGATATTTCAGTTTGCTCTTGGCTGTTGTAAATGATACTGCCTTCCTGATCTCCACTTCCATGATCTTGTCTGATGTATACAGCAAACCAATCGACTTCTATTTGTTGATCTTGTATTCTGCCACTTTTCCATATTCCTCTATCGCTGCCAGTACTCCAGTTGTGGAGCTTTTGGGATTTTCAATGTACAGAATAATGTCATCTGCAAATAACCGTAATTTCACCTCCTCCTCTCCCAGTTGGATACCTTTTGTCCTTCTGTTGCCTTATGTTATTAGCTAGGACCTCCAGTACGATATTGAAGTGGGGACAAGTGACATCCTTGTCTAGTCCCCTTTTTCAGTGGGATTGATTTAGTCTTTTCTCCATTGACTATGATGTTAGCTGTCGGCTTTTCATAGATAGCTTGTATTAACTTGAGGAACTGCCCTTCCATTCCTATCCTCCTGAGCGTCTTTATTAGGAATGGGTGCTGGATGTTGTCAAATGCTTTTTCTGCATCTATGTATATTATCATGTGGCTCCTATACTTTCCCTTATCAATGTGGTGTATAATATTGATGGATTTTTGAATGTTAAGCCATCCCTGCATATCTGGGATGAATCCTACCTGATCCTGATGGATGACGCATTTTGATTCTGTTGGCCAATATCTTGTTGAAGATTTTTGCATCTATGTTCATTACAGATATTGGTCTATAGTTCTCTATTCCTGTGGGATCCTTGCCCCGTTTGGTATCAAAGTTATACTGGCTTCGTAAAATAAGTTTGGGAGTTTGCCATCCTTTTCTACTCTGAAATACTTTATGGAGGATTGGTGTCAGCTTTTCCCTGAATGCTTTGTAGAATTCTCCAGTGCAGCATTCTGACCCAGGAGCTTTTTTTGCTGGTAGATTCTTGATAACCATATCTATTTCTTCTTTTGCTATGGATTCGTTTAGGTTCTTGACCTCTATCAGCGATAGTCTAGGGAGGGATTGTTTTTCCAAGTATTTGTCCATGTCTTCCACATTGTTGAACTCATTAGAGTACAGACTTTCATAGTACTTTGTGATTATTCTTTTAATCTCATTAGGGTCTGTTGTGATTACCCCAGTTTCATTCCTCCTCCTGTCTATTGATATTTGCTGTTTTCTTTCTTTGGTTAGGTTTACCAGCGGTTTATCAATTCTGTTGATCCTTTCAAAGAACCAGATTTTTATTGCATTAATCTTCTGCATTGTTCTTTTGTCTTCCCAGTGGTTCAATTCTGCCCTGGTTTTTATTATTTCTTTTCTTTTGCTGTTGGAGGGATTGTTCTGACGACTCTGTTCTAGTTGCTGGAGGTTTTGTGAGAGCGTATCCGTCATAAGTCTCTCTTCCTTTTTCACATATGCTCTTATTGCAATCAAGCTACCTCTGATGGCTGCCTTTGCCGTGTCCCATCGGTTTTGATACAAAGTATTCTCATTCTCATAAGTTTCTAGAAATTTTTTGATCTCCCCTCTACTCTGGCTCAGTACCAAGTTATGTCACAGATGATGATTATTCATTCTCCAATTGTTTGCCCTTGTTTTCCTGGCCGTCCTTTCACTGATCTCCAGCTTTATGTCATGGTGATCGGAGAAGGACGTCTGTATAATCTCTATGTGTTTTAATTTATTCAGGCTTGACTGGTGTCCCATCATGTGGTCTATTTTTTGAAAATGTGCCGTGCATGCTTGAGAAGAATGTATTATTATTTTTTTTTTGCATTTGGATGGAAAGCTCTAAATATGTCTATCAGATCTAGTTGCTTAATTGTAGGATTTAGCTCTATGGTCTCTTTGCTGAGCTTCCTTCGCAATGATCTATCTTTCTCTGAAAGTGGTGTATTAAAGTCCCCTACTATAATTGTTGAGTCTGTGATATCTTTTTTTCATTTTCTGAATAGTTAGTTTGGCATATTTCACGGGTCTCTCGTTTGGCACATGTATATTTATTATGCTCACAGGTTCCTGATAATTTGATCCTTTGAGCATTATAAAGTGCCCCTCCTTATCTCGTTTTTTGTTTTGAACCTTGAGATCAGTTTTGTCTGAGATTAGGATTGCAACTCCTGATTTTTTTAGTTACCTTTTGCCTGGTATAGCTTCCTTCAGCTTTTTATTCTTGTCTGTGAACGTAAGATGTGTTTCCTGCAGGCAGCAGATTGATGGGCTATGTTTTCCAAGCCAGTGTGCAAGCCTTTTTATTTTAATGTAGGAGTTAAGACCATTGACATTTAGAGTTAACATGATCTATGGATTCATTGCTGACATCTCATACCTTTTGATTTGTGTGTTTTCCTATCAACCTTCTTATCACTGTGTTGTGTCTTTGGGGGAGGGGGGCGCTTCCTTATTGCCATCTTTTCTCTCCCTGACCATGTTATCTTGGTGATTGGTGTCGGCTCATTGGCTTCTGATTGGAGTTGGGCTATATGATGTTCTCCTGTTTGTGCTTGTTGGATGTTGGTCTTCTGGCCATGGTGAGTTGGCAAGGATCTTCCTCAGGGTTGAGTGTCTTTCAGCGTATTCTTTAAGTTTTTCCTTGTCCTGGAAAACCCTTCTCTCTCCTATCTTAATAGATAATTTGGCAGGGTAAAGGAGTTACTTTACTCTCTCCTCTTCTTCGTGGTTTCTGTTGATAGGTCTGAGCACATTCTTACCTGAGAACCACTGCATGTAACTGTCTTCCTTTCAGTTGCTGCTCTTAGAATTTTCTCTTTTTCCTCGAAGTTACATAATATACTATTATATACCTTGGTGACCTCTTCCTGGGGTTTAATGTACTTGGTGTCCTCTCTGCTTCCTATGTGAGTGAGTGATTGTCATTCATTTGTCAACAAGTTCCCTTGTTAATTTAGCTGTTGACTTACTCACTGTGTTCTGGTAGGCCAATAATTCGGATGTTGTTCCTTTTCACAGCATCAGCCATTGATCTCAGGTTTTCTTCCATGTCTTTTATTATCTTGTTTGATTGTCTTTCTCGTTTGCTGAGGTCTGCCTGATTGTCTTCAAGATCACTGATACCTTTATCAGCCTCCTCTAGTCTGTTCATGAGATCGGTGATCTTGTGTGAAGCTCCTACTACTTCATCCATTAGCTCTTGTATTTCTCTTTGGTGCATGGACTTCATTCTCTATATCATGGCCTTCATCCCCTCTATCATTGCATCCTTAGTCTGTGTAGCTTCCCTCATATCCTGTGTTACTCCAAGCAGCTTTCTGAAAAAATTTTTTGTGGCAGATCCACGTCAGATTCTTCTATTAGTGTCGTTAGCTCTAATGATATAGCTTGTATTTCTTGTTTACTTGTTGGGAGTGATGTGGTATGCTGTTGTTTACATGATGATTTCAAACGGCTGGGCGCCATATTTCTGGGAGACCAAGCGGCCCTGTGTACTTTCACCGTATGACTGGCAACGGTGTTTTTAAGGGCTGCTTGTGGCCTACTATGGAGTTTAGTCAGTATGCTGTGAAGGCAGGTGCCGCAGTGATTCAGTGGTCAACAATGGTGAGAGATAGCGAGCTATGGGGAACTCAGTTTGACTGGTGGATATCTCCGGTACAGTGGTAGGGCTACAGGGGGCCAATGGGCTGGTGGCGTTGCTGTTAGGGTCTAAGGTGGTGTGACCCAGGTGGGCTGGGGTAGCTCCCAGTACTGGGTCCCCCAGGTGGGAGCTGCTAGTGGACAGCTGCTATGTGGTGGTCAGGCCTGGCCTTCGGGAGCTCTACAGGATAGCCGTCCTATTCCTGGCGCAGCAACCAGGCTAGAGGGTGGATGGGGGGAGGCACTGGCTGGTGGCGAGGTGCCCAATGCTTTCACAGCAGGCAGGAAATCCCTGATATATGGACCCAGCTCTCTGGGGCTTGAAACAAAGCAGATGTGGGGCAGGGCCCCCTCCTGGGCCAAGGAGGACACCTTGTAGGGACATTTCCACTCACCAGAACACTTTCACTTGACCTCTCGGACACCAGAATCACCGGAGCTCCACGAATGGGCTGCTTACCTTGGCACCATCTTCAATAGGGTGTTTTTATAGCCTTGAAATATTGTTTATGAATGCTGATCTGACGTTTGCCTAATAAGGGAAAGTACTTAGAATGAATTGAAATTAATTCTATTGTTTCTGAAGATAATGGGACCTATTTAAGAGCCTGTCTTCTGTTTCTGATTGTTTACCTTATGCCATCTTTGTTGCAGGGGTTGGACTGTGTAAGAACTATTGAAGAATTAGCAAGATTCCTCAGGAAACATTCAGGTACCTTTGTAAACTTTTTCTTATTAGTGTAGTGTAGTCTTAGAGACTTTTTTAGTGCCAGTGAAATGGTATAATACTAAATTATAGACTATTACCATAACCTCATTTTCTCCATCTGAACTACTGACCCTCTGGGCAGTAGCTAAGTGCTTAACTGGCAGTGCCACCAGGGTTCCTATTTATAGCATTAGTTAAATTTTTAAAAAGGTCTTTTGTAAATGCATATGAAGTGTAGCATTCTAGCCAACTGGGAGCTACCAGAGATGATGGGATAACTACTCAACACACAGGATTGAGTCCTGAGGGAATGGGAGAGGAACTCAAGGGAGAGAAGACCTCCTGAGCTTCTCTGCTTGCTGATTTTATTAACACACCAAAGGAGAAGGTTTACAAAGTTTAAAATGTGGTAGCCACACTAGGGCACAACTCCTCAAACTCAAGATGTCCTCAAACTATCAAAAACATTCTTGTACTTAAGAACATTCTGACGGAAGGGAGTATTCTTGTTATTTGCAATGAGGAATCTCCTTTTCACTAAGTGTTTGCACCAAGTTCCTGGCACATTTGAACAGTCAACTCATTCAGAGTTTTAATCAAAGTCTTTGTGCCCACATAACCTTCCCAGGGAGGACAGAGTAATGTTTCCCTACCATGAAGGACTTGAAGTTTTAGTTCAAGACAGCATATACCAGTCAGGCAGTACGTTTTGGAAATGGTTTGGCCTAATCATCACAAATCAATTATGTACTTCCTTTTTTACCTCCTACCAGGACAAGTTAACTTTCCCTTTTCTTCCACATATTCCTTCTTTGAAATTTCTTCTATCTTCTGCGTGTCATTGTCCTCATTCTGGAGTCCTAGCTTCCTTCTAGATGTCACATGTAACTCTTAGCAGCAGCTCACACTCAGTCATTACAGAAGAGCTCATCTTCCCAATACTACCTCTTCTTCTACCACCATTTGTTCCTGCCTTTCTTTCTGAAACCACATGCTGAGTTGTTACTCACTGCCTTGGAGTCAATGCCAACTCATAGCCACCTTGTAGGGCAGAAGAGAACTGCCCCTGTGAGTTTCTGAGACTGGAGCAGCTGATGGCTTTTAAACTGTGGACCCTGCTGAGCACAGCCCAATATGTAAACACTATGCCAAGAAGACTCCTTTATACTTAGCTATTACAACCCCAAATCAGTCAAGTGGAAATTAGCTTGTGTTTGATGAAGTGCAATAAAAGTATGTAGCCAGTCATACTTACAATTTGAATCCTAGCTTTGTGTTTCTAAGCAGGTTTACTTAATTTTCTGGGCCTTATATTTCTTCTATTAAGTGAGGATAATAATCCTTGGGAGGTAATATAGATAAAAGAGTCTTTGCATACATTTGTTACACTGCCACCATGATAATTTTCCCCCCAACAATTTTATTAGCACATAATTTATATCTCATATAATTGAGTAGTTCAATCATTCAGTCATATCAAGGGGAGTTGTACAATTACCACCACATTTGTCTTAGAGTATTCCCTGCCCCCATGGTGGAATCCTTTTTAAAATGAGTTGTGCAGTCACGACACCATGACAAATAAAGTGTAATAGTTTTTCATAAGTAGTCAGTCATTCTGCCTCTATTCCTTTGCCTCCAATCTGTCCATTGCCTGGGGCATTCTCTAAATGTACAGGGAGTCTCCCTAATGCCAGCTCCTTGGCTTCTCCTTGATTCTAAGGAGTCTTCTTTAGCAGGATGCGTACATTCTCTATTCAGGTTCTGCTATATGTGTTACTATTTATACCTTTCCCTCAAGTCTATTCGACAGCCTATGTCACATCCTTGACTGCCATTTTCCTTCAAGCATGTACCTTCTTCTTGCAGTTCTTTGCCTACTAATCCCCTCCCACCTCACATTTGTCTGTTGTTTTCTTTCTTTTCCGAAACCTATCCCATGTGGGGGAATGGGGTGAGTGTGATGGAGCTAGCTCAGACAATTTCTTCCTCTTCCCTTGGTGTTGATTTCTGTTCCCTTTCTTCATAATTCCATGCTAAGTAACTTGTTTTAATGATTCAGATGATTGTGCCATTGGCTTTCCTCCAAATTAAATACACTCATATGGTGATAATGGGCGGGCCCCATTTGGTCCAGGCTCTGTTTTGGTGTTTATCACACTGACATATATAGACACATGCACACACTCTAAAAAATTTCTGGAAGGCAACAAAGACTTTGTTCAGATAACAATGTGCTTAACAAAATGTAAACTTCACCAGACGTCTTCCTATATCTTTGTTAATAACAGAAAAATTATTTCATTACTCTTTAGTGAATGCCATGACACAGCCAACGGTAAATTTATAGTATTTTGTTAGAACATTAATAGTACAAGCCAGCTATAGCTGACCTGCTGCTGTATTTAATGATTCAATCTCATTTTCCAACCTAGGTCTGAGAAACATCTTACCTATTACGACAGCAAAGGTGCCAATTGTAAAATTCTTCCATTCAAGAAGTGGTCTGGAAGTGGATATCAGTCTATATAACACATTGGTAAGATTTCCTTCAGACTTTTTCTTTAGGGCAGCTAAGGATGTACAAATGTCTCTTTGAAAATCAGAAGTGGGATGAATCATTCATTTCGTCTTACTCATTACTTCAGTAGTTATTTAGTAGTACTTGCTGTGTCAGGCATGTTCCAAAACTGGCTATTTAACAATTTAATGCTTGCATTCATTCTTTTAGCCCTTTGTTTCTTGGTAATGTTCAGATTAAAAGTATATGAATAGAATGTAAGTCATGAAAGCAGATATTACTTAGGATTCTTGCTTATTATCTAGTAAATTATGGAGCTTATCTTTGGAGAAGAAAAGATGAACTATCTTAATGTCTTCTTGCAGTGAATCACAATGTAAACCATGGATTGTCAGATTGTTCAAGTTTAGGTTTTTTTCTTTGAACTGCTAGTGTAATTTTTCCTTTTTAACAGGCCCTTCACAATACAAGGCTCTTATCCGCTTACTCAGCCATTGACCCCAGAGTGAAATACTTGTGCTATACTATGAAAGTATTTACAAAAGTAAGTCTACTTCCCATTGTGATTTATCAGGGACTTATATTGTACCTACAGACTGTTGAAAATGTGTATTTTTTAAAGAACTGTACGCAAAACCAAACACATTGCTGTCAAGTCAAATTTCACTTTATAGTGAGCCTGTATGCCTCAATAGAACGATCCCATAAGATTTCTAAGACTATAATCTTTGTATGTGTGTGAGGACATCAACGTGTTCTGGCAAGTGAAAATAGTATATATCTACTGCAACATCCTCAACTCTTTTTTATTTTCTAAAACCCTCTCTTCCTTCTTAAATCTTAGCCTTTATACTTAGGGAAGTCTTTCTTGTCCCACCCAAAAGCAAATGGCTACATCTTTTTCTTGCAGAATAGCTAGCTGGTGGAGTTAGACCACCGATACTTAGTTAATAGCCAAGCGCTTCATCACTGGGCCACCAATACTTCTTCAAAGACCCATAGCCATGTCAGTTCTTCCTTTATTTAATAAGCCTGACTCCCACCACTGCCAGTGAGGTGATTCCGACTCAAAGCCATCCTGCAGGACAGAGTTGAACAGCCCCCTAGGGCTTTTGAGACTAAATCTTTATGGAAGCAGACAACCCATCTTTGTCCCTCAGAGCAGCTTGTGTGCTTAAACTGCCCAAACTGTGTTGTTGGCAGCCCCATATTTAACTCACTGGGCCACCATATCTCCTTAAAGCTGACTCAACTAGCTAAAATTTTGTTGTTTTTAAATTTTACATAATAATTTCCTCTTGATGTTTCACTGCTCTGTTGTTATTTGGAGGCTAATATGCTTGATTGATTTTTGTCTTACTGACTTGGTTGGATTTGCTGGCATATTTTAGCATTGGAAGATGTGATTTTTTTTTTTTTAATATTAGCTCCCTAAATAAAATCTATTGTACAGGGCTGTTCCCTTACTCATAGTGATAATAGGATATTTACCTCCTTAGCAGGAAACATTGCTGATGCTTCTCCTTGTCCTGTTTTCCTTCCTTGTAGATGTGTGATATTGGTGATGCATCTAGAGGCAGCTTATCCTCATACGCATACACTCTGATGGTGCTGTATTTTCTCCAGCAGAGAAATCCACCCGTCATTCCAGTCCTTCAAGAGGTATTAGTAAAAAATAGTGTATTTCTCATCTGTAAATTGCTTCAATCTCTGAGCCTCTGTCTGCTCTAAAATCCTGTACTTCTGTAGTTGTTTTTCACTGTTTTCTTACAAGTTTCTGTTTCAATGCATTGTTTACACTAATATTTTGTATATTAATTTCAGATATACAAAGATGAAACAAGACCTGAAATATTTGTTGATGGCTGGAATACTTATTTTTTTGATCAAATCGAAGAGCTGGTATGTTTTGTAATGAATAACCATTTTCTTAAATCTTTGACTAAGAGTTAGCTGCTTGTTAAGTTTATTGTATTATGATAGAAGTTCCCTTTAAAGTCTGAACCTTAATAGTGAGTCAGGAAGATTTCTAGGGATTATAGCCAGAATTTCTTAAATGCCTAACAGTTGCATGTGGTTTGGTAGCTCTGTTAAGAATGATTGGATGTTTGCACCTAGAATTTTGTTTAAAGAGTTTAGAAATATTTTGAGCTATAGAAAGGTAGGGGTCATGTAGATGCTTGGATTTACTTTGTTTCTTCCACTAACAGACTTTGTGATCTAAATCATAGCAATTTAAAACCTGAGATTTCCCTAGTTTCAAGTCATGAAGTAGAGATGAGTGAATTCATATATACCCTGCATTTTTTAAAACATCATTTTATTAGGGGCTCTTACATCTTTTATAACAATCCATACATCAATTGGGGGGGGGTGAGGTTATGTGTCGATCATTGTAGTCGGTTTCCCCTTCCTCCCCTCATCTCCCCACCTTCCTCCTCTTCTCTTGTTATCCCTAATCCCATTTCTGTTCCTGAGGGGCTTATCTGACCTGGATTTTGTGTGTTGTGAGCTCTTATCGGTATCAGTGTACTTGCTCCAGTCTAGCCAGAACTGAAAGGCAGGACTGGGGTCATGATAGTGGGGGAGGGTGAGAAAGCCTTAAGGAACCAGAGGAATATTGTGTGTTTCATCTGTGCTATATTGCACCCTGGTTGACTCATCCCTTCCTTGCAACCCTAATGTGAAGGGATGTCCCATTGTCTACAGATGGGTTTTAGGTCTCTGCTATGACCCCCTTTGTTCTCAACAATATGTTTTGTTTGTTTGTTTGTTTTGCATAACTGTATTTTAAAATAAAACCCTTTTTGCCCCCTAAGTTTTCTAATTATATATTTTATGCACTTAAACTCTTAGTTAGAAATAAAGTTTAATTTATTCCCTAAGATAAATATTAAGTATAGAGCATGATGTCTCTTGTTTTGTTTTATTTCTAGCACACCTATTGGCCAGAATGTGGAAAAAATACAGAATCTGTTGGGCAGCTATGGTTAGGACTTCTTCGTTTCTACACAGAGGAATTTGATTTTAAAGAATATGTAATTTGCGTCAGGAGAAAAAGTCTGCTTACAACTTTTAAGAAACAATGGACCTCGAAATACATTGTTATTGAAGGTACAAATCAAATCCATGTAAAGCATGCCGCAGACATGCAGATTTCCCCGTGAAGGCACTGCTCTTCGACCATAGCAGAGCTCCGGTGGTCTTACCTCTTGCCAGCCTAAGGAATATCTTCAGTGACTGGTGCCCTCAGGTGGGCCTCTCACAAGTCAGAAAATCTGTTCACCAGGACAAATCTTGGTGAACTATGACCAATCCTGATGAACACATACTGGAGAATAAGGTAGTAGTGGAGAGAAGGCAGCTTCAAGCCAGGAGGATTTTCACTTTAAAGTGAAAATTTAAAGGCCTCAATATTGCCACAATTTATATATAACTACAAGTAGTTATATATAAATTGTGGCAATATTGAGGCCTTTTCTTTTTCTACCTGAATACTGGGTTACTCTGAGACATTAATGTTTATGGTTGATAGCTAATTGCCAATTTTTGGTGTTTTAATTGGAAAAGAAGAAAATGGAGCCAAAATACCTTTAAGTGATCTGAGAAATGGCTTAAGAAATATTTTGTTAAATTTAATAGTATTTTTTAAATATACTCAGATTGCCTGAATAATATGTGTTTCTCTGTCCTATGCTTTGTCGTTTCTTCTACCTATCGGCAATGTGAAAATATATGGCACATTAAGTTTCTAGAATCTCCACCATAAAAAACACAGAGCTTAGTTATATTTCTTATGGTCTGACCAGATGGTAATGTTTTCAGTTTTAATTTTTGAAGCCTTATCTTTTGCTTTGAATGTTTACATTCCTTTCAGAGTAGCCCTTAATAATACACTAACCAAGAAAAACAGCCTTACCATTTAGGATAAAAATCAGAATAATTTCAGTAGTAATGTTAGTATTTTAGTTCATCAATCTATTAATGAACACACTGTGGTATCTGTACTACATAAATACCTTCGTACATAGTGGCCATGCAGTCCCTGAGTGGTGCAGTGGTTATGCGTTGGCCTGTAAGTTTGGTTGTTAGATGGTTGTTGAGGGTTTTTTTTTTTTTAGCTATCTTACGGAATCTGAACTCATTTCAACGTAGTCAACAGGCCTGTACCAGAGTGGTAGCACTTATTAGAGCAGTCAACCAGAAGAGATCAAAGGGGCAGCCTTTGTCCAGCAACATGAGAAGGCAGAAGAGAGAGGAAAAAAAGGAAGAGAAATGGGGCTGCTATCAAAGTCACCAAACACAATGTGTATGATAAGCCAATTTGCTCCATGAACTTTCTGTCAAATTACAATTTTTTTAAAGAAATGTTTATTTAGACAGCCACATAAGTTCGAATTTGTTATATATATATATACATGTAAATAAATAGGACAGCCATTTCTTTCACTACTTACAAGCAAATGATTTGGGATTTTCTCGTCATATATATTTCATTTACTGTATATACTCGTGTATAAACCGAGTTTTTCAGCACAATTTTTATGCAGTTTTTGTGGTAAAATTAGGTGCCTCGGCTGAGTAGGGTCAACTTACACTCGAGTATATACAGTAACTAAATGAATAGTGGCATTTCCTATTTTAATATCTCACTTGATATCATGATTTTCTTTACTTAGATCCTTTTGATTTGAATCATAATCTCGGAGCTGGATTATCAAGGAAAAGTAGGTAACTTTATAAATTTTAATGAGATCTTCTCTTTTCCTTTTAAGCCACCTTTTGACCTTTTACTGCTTTCTCCTAGTGACAAATTTTATAATGAAAGCTTTTATCAATGGAAGAAGAGTATTTGGTAGTCCAGTCAAAGGATTTCCGAAGGACTATCCCTCCAAAATGGTAAGTGTGTGCAATGAAAATCTTTTTACAGATACAAAACAGTTCTGAAGCAACATTGTGAAACACCTGGTTTGTGTGCATTGCTGATCTGGAAGCCTCGTGGTGCTTGTAGCCACAATTACTCTAGAAACAAGGATTCCTAAAGGTTGCTTTTTCTCATATCCCTCTTTTGGGACTATCTAGGAGGAAAACAGCAGAGCCCTTATGGCATAGTGGTTACACATTGGGCTGTGATCCCTAAGATCAGCAGTTCCAAACACCAGCTACTGCAGGAGAAAGGTGGATTCCACTGCTACCATTAACCGTTACAGTCTCAGAAACATAGAGGGGTAATTCGAACCTGTCATATGGGGTCACTATGAGTCAGCATCGACTCCACGGCGGGGAGTTGTTGAGAACAGAGAGAAGTAGCCTGTTTGGTATCTTCATAGTTCTTGTGTTTTGATTTTAACACTGATTATCACATATTCATATGTGTTCTTCTAGGAGTATTTTTTTGATCCAGATGTCCTAACGGAAGGAGAGCTGGCACCAAATGATAGATGTTGCAGAATTTGTGGGAAAATAGGACACTTTATGAAGGACTGTCCTTTGAGGAGAAAGTAAGTTAATGCGGAAAATGGGTAGTTTTTTTTATTTTCTAATTTTATTTAAAATCTAGCCGTTTTTTGGATGATTATTTTAGTGAAAATGAAGTGGTCAGAATTTACACACACACACACACACACATATATTATTGAGTACTCTTACAGCTCTTACCACAATCCATACATACATCCATTGTATCAAGCATATTTGTACATATGTTGCCATCATCATTTTCCATACATTTTCTTTCTATTTGAACTCTTGATATCAACTCCTCATTTTCCCCCCTCCCCTTCCCTCCCTCATGAACGCGTGATAATTTATAAAATTTTTTTCCCATGTCTTATTCCGACCTCTGTCTCCCTTCACCCACTTTTCTCTTGCGCATCCCCCTGGGAAGGGATTATTTGTAGATCATAGTGATTGATTTCCTCTTTCTCCCCCCACCTTACCCTCCTAGTATCTCTATTGTCATTATTGGTCCTGAGGGGTTTATTTGTCCTGGATTCCCTGTGTTGTGAGTTCTTATCTGTACCAGTTTACATGCTCTGGCCTAGCCGGATTTTAAGGTAAAATTGGGATCATGATAGTGGGGGTGGGGGTGGGGGGAAGCCTTAAAGAACTAGAGGGGAGTTGTATGTTTCATCGTTGCTACCCTGCACCCTGACTAGCTTGTTTGCTCACCGCGACCCTTCTGTAAGGGGGTGTCCAGTTGTCTACAGATGGGCTTTTCTACAGTCTCTACTCTGCACTTCCATTTTTAAGGGCAGGTGACTAGGTTTGATTCGGGTATATAGGTTCTCCTTCCTTAATTTTGACCATGGCTCAAATCATGAGCCTTCCAACAGGAATGGAAGGGAAAAGAAGAGAGATTAAAATACTGTCAGAAATTAAAAGTTCAGAATCATTTCAGTAAGTGAAAACAAAATGTGTTTAAATGGCAGTTACATTTCTATGTGGAAGTTGTACAATGTTAGGATTCTTACCAATAATTTACTAGCATATAGGACTCTGTACTCCTTATATACCCTTGCACCACTAAATGTAATGGAGTCCCTGGGTGGTACAAATGGCTAACATTTCAACTGTGCACCAAAAGGAAAAAAAAACTTGTGTTCTACTTCTGAGAACTCAGCCGTTGAACATCCTAGATGGATTATGGACAACCAAATGCCTCATGGGATTTGATTTCTTGATTTGGAAGTGTAGGGCCTTAGTTTTCATGGGACATCCCAGCTAATTGGCTTAATAAAATGTTTTTAGTGCTTCTAATCTACCTTCTAATTTGTTAGGTAGTGCGTAGAGTTTTAAAAGCTTGAAAGGAGCCATCCAAGGCACAATAATTGGTCTGTACTTGCCTGGAGCAACAGAGGGAGGAGGCCAGTCAGAAATAGGAGGAAGGTACATAATGTGTGGCTGGTTGCCTCTATGAACAACTGCCTCCCCTGCCATGAGACCAGAAGAACTGGACAGTGCCTAACAAACACTACTGAGTATTTTGATCAAAGATTCTATAACAGAATCATGAGCAAAGGGGAGAAATGCAGAACAGATTTTCAAATTCAAATGGAATCCCTATGTTTTGTAGACATGGAGACTGGGTAAACCCCTGAAACGATTGTCATAAGATTATCTTGAACCCAAAATATCCCCTGAAGTGGTCTTAGCCAGTAGTAAAGAATGTCTGTCCTATTGTACCTCTACTCAAGTACTCCCTCAACACAAGAACACTTTGTTATAATAATCCAGCACTTTGAGGTGCTCACCTTCCCTACAGGATCGCTGAAGACAAAGCAGGTGCATAAGCAAATGTGAAGAAAATTGGTGGTACCC